CTGATCACATCTTTGATTCTATTTTACACTAATGTCTTTCACAATTGTCTAGCAAAAATATAATCTACTGCAGAGAGATATGTATATAAACTATAAGTGATATATCCATTGCAAAATACCCCAATCTTAAGAACTTACACTGTTCAAAAGTTCCCTTAATATCATATGTATGTATTATCACCCAAAATTCCCAAATTATAAAGTACATTCTTACTTTTCATCTGGGTTCTATGAACAATTGTATTCAACAAACAAGGAAGTGAGTGTTTCCTTTCAATGATCACTGTTTATGGGTTCATTATCTTTAAATAGGCATTTTTTCAGCTCCATATTTTCATATAGAAGTATTCTGGACAAAATCCTAATCAAAACAATAGCAAAATTACACCTTGTACAGACTCCTCACTTAACATAATGAAATATACACATTTCATAGAGAAATATTGATTGAATAGATACAGTGACAGGAAAACTCAATAAACACAAAATTCTGTGCACAGCAGATTTTTGTGCCATGTTAACACAATTTTCTTATGGCGGACCATATGATATAGTGAATCTTGCTTATATGAGTTTCCTTACTATCCTTGTTAAGTTATCATTTACAGAGGAATACATTTCTTTTTAAAGATATGTAATCATGGTAAATAAAAAATCCACTCTCATTAATATGCCTAGTTCTAAAAATAAGATTACCTTTATTCACTTATCACGATTATCATTTAAAGAAAATGTTTACTGCATTGGATGCATTTTAACAATAATGGCTCACAATCCTGATGCTGAACTAGCTTTGGTAATGAACAAGGAACTGTGATCATTGTTTGGTCTCATTGTAACTAGTGCAGTGTAGCATAACTCTCTCTTAAAGATACTACTCATTTGCAGCATCTTTCTCTATTGTTATTTTGCAACATTGTGAGTACTAGTCTCCTTTCTCTTTGTAATCTCAACTGATCAGAAAACTGGCAGATATCTTCAGTTTGAATGTCAGCCACAATATTAATTCTAAATCACATATCTAAGCAACTGTTATCAAAAAAGCTACATTAGAATACCCATTATTGTCCATCTTGATTTTAACTTACGTATGATCTAGAAGGTTATCACAATCCAAGATCTGCCCAGTAACCCTTTACGGACTATATATACTTGGCAAAATAACGCTTTGATGACTAATATGGACCTAACAAATACCGCAGATCATTACTGCAATCTACGCAGTTTTCCGTGTGATTAATTCCTCACTTTCATCACCGATACGTTTGAAGCCTTGTTCTATCATTATAATACTGCTTATGCACTGTAATCATGGTCATGCATTATCAAGTTTCACAGTCCCTGGTCAGTCCCTGATTGAACATGGCCCCCCTCTAAAAGCCACTGGAAATGCCTATGATGAATTTGTTACACTGCGTCAAAGGGTCAAAGCACCTGAGCAACTCCTTGTATATCTGCCATTACTTCATTGACATCTCTAGTAGTTTGCTTCATGTACATTGCTTATTGTCATATTTTATAACTATACATTTATATTCCTTTCACATTACCGATTTCATAAGGATGCAAGAGCATTAGTATTACACTTCCTCATGCTGTCTTAATACAAGGGCATTGTACTACAGGCATGTAAAAGGCATGTTGGGATGTTGGTTTGAAGTTTAGATGACAAAGTGTCATGTTCTTTTTAAAATATTATCCATAATTCCTACACATAATAATAATATAGATGCCCCAAATCCTCTAAAATGATGACATTCTCTCTTATTTTTTTTTAGAAAATTATGCAAAGTATCTTTAAGGGTGGATTCTAGGGTAACATTCAGCATGTGATGATGGTTAAAGTTAAAATGAAATACCATACCTTCGCACCCACTATTTGGATTGTTTTTCACATACTTGGAATTTTTATAAGTAACCCAGATTTAGTCAAAATACAGGCAGTTGTTGCATATATCCACCTCAGTCAATAGTATGCTTCTACAAGATCTGGATAACAATTCTGGAATGACGTATCACAACAAAGAGCTTATCACAATGCATTTTCATAATAGAGTTACAACTGAATTCATAGTACAGACTTTAAATGAGAAATACTTTGTTCATGAAGGAACTACATACTCAAAAGTTTTGAGCAATAACATCACTCATCATACATCTTGTTTTTTTATCAGTTCTGCCAATTGATTTTAACCTAGTTTGCCCCACTGATTTTTGAAAATGATATGAATTTTGATCTATCACATCACACTTTCTATGCACCCTTTGTGTTTTTTAAAACTTCAATTCTAAGCCTCATCGTGAAAGTGGGGACATGAACTATAGGCACTTAAAGTCATTCTAAATATAGTATTGTCATATAAATTTTAACTCTGTCTAGAAGTGTTCCCCACACAAGAGATACTTCCTGTAAGCAATTAACATACACTGATGCTATAAAAGAACATCAACAATTTCCCACCATCCTTTACCACATAATATCTAATATACAGTATTTTTGTTTATTACAGAGCCCATATCTTTGTCTACTGCTGAAGATTATTATATTTTTCAGATTCATCATGGACATGGCATAGCATATTGGGCGCATGCTAGCTTTGCCAGGCCATGCCCCATCCAGCTGACTCCACTGTATGTCAGAGTCTGAGAAAATAGGAAGCTGCCAATTACTGCATCATCCCATGTCCTTTTGTCTAAATGGATACAGGACTAACTTTGACAGATTAAGCCCATTTATCATAAAAGTTCAGCTTCACTGCAAATATGAACTTCTTTTGTCTAGCTGATAAAAGATACTGAGCAGCTTGGAAAAAACCTGGAATTTACATCATCCAGCCAAATATCCAGAAACAGAGAAGAGGTTGACTGAAAAACTAAAATAGAGCAAAACTGATCATATTCTTATGATTATGGTTATTATCATTATAATAATTAGTAGCCACTGCCCAAAATTCATCACAAAGTAGTTATCTGGCTTTTTTCCTTCTTTCTTAAGTAGATTAATGAATCTGAACTTCCATACACTGTATTCCTTCAATCCAATGCAATACTAAAATATTCATAACATGAAAATGATGAAAAATTAAATGTCCAGTACATATTCACTCTTGAAAATTTATTTTGCTTTTAGCATTGTCAAAGAACCTGTAAACAACTACTTTCCAGAGAGACTGTACCAATTTCAGAAAAAAGGACCCATAAAGACACCATACTGAAAGTGTAATATTGCAATAACAATATTAATCGTAAATCAAAATTATGGAGACACTAAGTATGTAATGGACAACAATGTAGAAGAAACTATAAACTAATAATACTGAATATCATCATGGTAATGCTAAAATCAGAACCATAAAACATCTCTGACACAATGTCATCTCCAGCAGTCAAGCTCAAAATCATCGGTAAAATTCAGTTATCAAAACATTCTACACTTTGGCTTGTATAAAAAAAAAAAAAAATTACTACTACTTTTTATGCAGTGCAAATACCATTAACACAAAGCCTATAAAAGCAAAATTTGTACAAGCTGCAACTAATATCAACATGAGCAATCTGTATCACTTCTCCAGCCTTTCGTTGAAGACCGCCTGTCTTAAGAATTCAGAGGAATTACTGAGGTTCAGTCAGAGATTTTCTGTAAGTATTCCACAGAAGGATGAAAGGGGAGGAGGAGGAGTAGGAAGGGAGAAATGAGGGGGAAGAGAGGAGGAAGAAGAGGAAGAAATATGGGGAAAGATGGGGGAATAGATGAGAGAGGAGAAGGGGATAAGAAGAGGTGGAGAAAAGGATAAGAGGAGAAAAATTAGAAAGGGGAAGAAGGAAGAAAACAAGAAAGAAAGAAAAAACATAAAAGGAATAAGAAGGTATACAGCAAAGGTAAGAATGAAAAAGGAATATTAAATAAAAGAAAAAAACATTCAAAGTAGGAAGAAGAAGAGAAATTGAAAACAAATAAATGCAATACAAACACTACCCCACTGAAAATCTCCTCCTTTGAAAAAAAAGAAAAAAAAAAAAAGGTGAAGTATATATAAACATACAAAATAGAGGATCATTCATGCTCGTGACCTCAAAAAAAAATTAACCATTTTTCACTGCAAAACACAGCCTGAAAGTTACAACCATAAAATTCAAATTCATACCAAATGAACTCTTATTGACTTCTATATCAATATTAGGCAAAGGGATAAGAATTATATATACAAAATGTTACTCTTATGGATGATAGAGCTAAGAGAGCAATAAAGCATAGGAAGATATATAAAAATGGGGATAATTAAGGAAAGAACGAAAAAAAAAAAAAAAACAGATCTACGTGGATATGTTACAAAAGGATTATAATAAGTAGTATATGGAATTATATATATACATCTACAGATATATATATGTATACAATTTTTGGACATCATATATGTACACACACACACACATGCACACACACACACACACACACACACATGAACACAGACACACATATATATATATATTTGGGCATGAGGAATAAGTGGAGCCTCCACCCATCAGTTACCCTGCCTTTGCATCCACCTGCAACCACTATTCACACCCCCATCCATTCCCACACAATGTCAACAAATGATAAATGCTGCTGCTTCTTTATCATCGTCCAATAAATTCGTGAAGGTAAAACATTTCTTAAAATTTAGATTAAACAAAAATATCTGCATTTGTGGGTGTTGCAAAAATTTCTGATTCACAAGAAGTTAAATTTTAAAATCATAAATTCAGACAAATCATGTATATTGTATGCAAATTTGTGATAAGCAAGCATAATAGTTTTCATGTAGGGAAACCACATTTCAAACCATGTACAATGTAAAAAGAATATAGAAAATATACAGGGCAGTGTCCGAATTTTTGAACATCAGATATGTTATCATTACATGACTAAATTTTACTAAAAAGTTTCAGGTTGTGTACTTTCTGGCTATCTGTTATTCTTTTTCTCAGTTCTCCATAAGGCATAGCGAAACCAACGGTGAGAAAAGACATACTTATTTCTTTTATTTTTGCAGTATCTACAGATTGTCTTCCCTGTTCATTTCACTCATGGTTCATCTACCATTCTTTTCATATACTGACATCTAGCCTTTTTTTCATCTTTTCCTGTTTGTTTCTGAGTGTGTATGACAAAGAGACATGAGAGTGAATAGCCCACAAAATGAAGATACATAACTGAAGTTTTCATATTACATCTTCATTAGAATGTTATCTGTCTTATGAGGATGCAATATCAAAATATTAATTACATATTCTACATTGGTGTCATTCATGCCTCTTCTGTTTGTCACATAGAAATATATAAAATTTCTAATGTCAGTATCATCCTTCCTAACACAGAGGCCATTAAGAAAAACAAAAGTCAACCTCTCCACAAAATCTGAAATGAAATTCTTCACACACAGGATATTCAGCTTTGGGAGGGAAGAAACATTAATGGCACATGGTCAAAGGTACCTGGATATTACATAAAAAAAAAAAATGTACGTGATATTTTCTTTTTTCTTCCTCTTCTTCTCAAAATGCATGCCAATGTACTGGTTTGAATAATAGCAGTTAATTTGTACACTGATCTGGTTCACTACTAATAATACTTCTCTTCTTGTTAACAGTTATTGTCACAGAATATGAGCTGTCATGTATTTCAAAAATAATAATAAAAAAAGTATTATGAAAATATTAATATCCAAAAATATTTGTTTGTTTTATAAAAGTAAAACACCAAATATATTACAAACATAGGGCAAAGTCTTCCAAAGGTTCAAAAATACTTCATCTAGCAAAACATAACAGAAAGATTTGCCTACAACAACAAAAAACTACTCAACAAATATGAGCTACTCTAGCTATCTCAACATCTATAAGCCTTATCTAAAATCACCTGAATATTGGTATGAACTGAATGAAGCAAGGTCCCCCTCAAGGCCCTCGGCTTGTTAGTCTCAATTCGTGAGTGTCTTCTGCCCCGACACCCCATCTAAGAAGAGGGGCAGGGCATTGCACGTCCAACACGGGTGCCACCTGAGCTTGCGGAACTCGTCTAGGTTTTTATAGAAGTCATAGTAGGTCTCCTTTATAGCTGTCTCGCGCGGGAATCCTCGGAACCAGTCCTGCAGGAGGTTGGCTAACTCCTCCTTGTTCTTGAAGATGAGTCCATTTTCATTGTGCTTAACTAGCTCCGGGAGTGCAGGGTAGTCGATGGCTGCCACGGGGAGACGGCTGCCAAACATGTCCACCACCTTCATTGGAAGGTCCAGGCCTGAAGAGGAGTAGTGTAGGCACACGCCCAAATCTGCAGCAGCAAGTAAGGTCGGATAGTCCTCAGCAGTCATCCAGGGGGTGATGACTGCTACGTGCATCCACATACGTTCAGCCACCAGAGACGTGTAGTACTCCTTCATTGGCCCCTTGCCTGTCACTACCACAATAAGAGGAGGGTAGTGGTCTGGGAACTCATGCCGTACACCCTCGTAGTCCTCCAGGGCATGGAACAGGATCGAAAAATCCTCATCTTCTGTCCAGCTTGTGGAGGATACCAGGAGAGCTGGCCTGTCTTCACACTCTATGACACGGCCATCTGCATACCTTTCAGTAAACACGGTTTTGTCAGGTGAGGAACCAGAAAAGCATGAATAGGTTGTGGAAAGTTTCATGAAGAGATTGTGCTTCTCCTCAAGCGTTATTGGATGGAATCGATCAGCTGGACGGTCGTACAACACAGTCACCTTTTGGATGCCCCACTTCTGTGCTAAGTTAATCTTCATGGCTTTGGTGACGCACAAACCCCCATGGGCCTGCCTGCCAAAGATCCTCTCACATAACCCATAAATAAAGACCAGGGGATGATTCTCTTGAAGATTAATAGCCATGATGGTGTACCCATAGTTGTGCCAGTCAATCAAGAATTTGGTCCTAGTAATCAGACAAAAGAACCAGCAAACAGGCATTGTGGGAATTCCAGGTGGGTTCTGCATGAGCAATACCTTACTCCTTGGCCCTGTCAGCAAGGTAAAAAACAGGATGATCGCTTGCCACAGGACCTTCATGAAATATGCCATCACTCTGGGCAGATTGCTGAAAGCCGCAGGTGAAGGCCTCATATATGTAAGTGTGATGTGTTCATCCTTGAGGACCTCAATTTGTGGTTTGGACCCAGCAAAGCCCACAAGGTTGACCTCGAACCCTTCCTCAGAGAGTGAAAGCGCATGGTAGTTCATCCGAGGGGAGTGACCCAGGTCTCCTAGCACCACCAGCGTGATTTGTTCTCGTTTCTTGTCTCTCTGGTAACCCATTGTTGTTAACTCTGACCCACTAGTCTGTAAAAAAATAAAACATCATTTAACTTTAATTCTTCAGATCATTCTAGAATAATATAAATGCAAACTTACAGTACTGAAAACCATATCATTCAACCCAAAATAATTTGAATGTGTAAAAAATATGGATATTACAAATAAACTTGGCTAAGGAACCTTCCAGCTATGTTTACTTTAAATTTTAACATTATCGATGCATATCATTACACCAAAACACTATCTACAGACATTGAACACATAGTCAAGTGACAGATCTATTTACATCTTTGGTTTTCAACACATAAAATTAATCACAGCTATACTTTTATCTTTTTTCCTGAAAAGGTTACCAATATCATATGACTGCAAGCACATAAAATACACATGATGCATCCAAGCAAGTGTGACAAATTATGAATTACTTTTTGAGTCAGAATAAACTCAGTAAAGCTGAAATGGTTACCAGAAGAATATTTGGACAAGACAATCATATGTCCATGATACAGTCACTAGAAAAAGAAGAAAATTTCTACACTGCCAATATAATTTTGGTGACTTCCTGGTATGACAAAAGAAGTCGCTTTTTATGTACAAAATGAATACTGACTGAAGTAATGAGAGCAAGTATTTCACCTGAACCTGTTTCAAGTTATATCATCAGCATCAATCTTGTGGACAAGACTGATTCAACAATTATTAGTATCCACTGTATCTGCAAGACAATGAAATGTTTCAGAAAACTGTATTTCCACTTTCTTAATCCTGCAGTATTCAATACTCATGTTACAAGTAAGAAGGAAAACCTATATATAAGTATACAGGACAAAATTGCAAACTTTTTTTCACCACTGAACATCAGACTGTCCTGATAAGACTGACTTGTTTACTTCAGACTAACTGACTGTCATCCTCTATAAGCCCTATACTCCAATTATTAAAGAAAGAAAATAAAGTACCAATTCAAATAACGAAGACCCTATACTGCAAATAAAAAAATCTACAGTTCTTAACCCATTGCTGCCGGGGAAAATGAACAAAAAATGGGGAAAATTCTGTACTCATTTTTTATATTTTTGTGAAATATCTCTGGCCATAGATGGCTCTGCTAGTCCTGATTTCACCTTTCCTCGAATTGGCGGGAAAAAACGTATTCTTACAAGTGCTATAAATATAGATGGTGTTATTTTTAACAGCAAATTAGGATAACGTTAAATATTTTCGTAAATCAATGACAAGGGTGAACAGGCGAGACAGGCAGTACTCGTAATTGGCTCATTGGATACTTAGTACAAGTGTAGCCATCTATGTGTAAAAGTAATCGAACAAGTCGACTCACAGTGGGCATGGCATGTACGTACATGCCACCCCCGGCGGCAATGGGTTAATGGCCGTGCATCAAAAGAGAAAGTCTGCGAAAAAGTCTGTGAAAAATATTCATACTCATCTCGTCTATTTCTTAATCTTTGTTTTTATGCTACAGATCTCCTAACTTACAGATTTTCTTAAGAATAAAAAATATACTTTCGGAATTGCATTTATTTATTTCAAAAAAAAAGTAAGCTAAAAGTGAATAAAAAGAAAGATGGGCTACCATACTCTGCACAATGCTTTCTTTTACTCCAATAAAATATTTCTTCCCCATTATCATAGCTTGAAAATTGTAGGTTGAGTTAAAATGATTAAAAAATATATAAATAAATGTTTGCATTTGAAAGTTCAAATATTCATATGCCTTTCATTAAATGTACCAAATTTCTGCTATATATACAAAACATGTTGATGCAATGGAATTAAATATTTTCCTAGTATTTCTATTGTTATACAATAATCAACAAATGGATGCTAAGAAAGAAAGAAAGAAAGAAAGAAAGAAAGAAAGAAAGAAAGAAAGAAAGAAAAAGAAAAGAATAGAAAATAAAAAGAAAAGAAAAGAAAAGAAAAGAAAATAAAATAAAAGAAAAGAAAAGAAAAGAAAAGAAAAAGAAAAAAATCATCTTCAGTAACACTGCACATATGATTGGCCAGGTGACCAATGGACAACCTGTTATGAATGTACTGTTTCTTTTAATCACAACTGGATCTGTGATACAAAAGAAATAACCACAAAACCATAATTGGACCTGTGATATAAGAGAAATCACAAAGAAAACGTCTAAATTCAATCTAAGATTCTGGTTTCAATATGACTTACTGATCTTCAGGAGAAAGATATATTGCTGATTTTGCAATGACAACTTAACCCATTGCCGCCGGGGATGGCATGTATGTACATGCCATGCCCACTGTGAGTCGACTTGTTCGATTGTTTTTACACATTGATGGCTACACTTGTACTAAGTATCCAATGAGCCAATTACGAGTACTGCCTGTCTCTCCCGTTCACCCTTTTCATCGATTTACGAAAATATTTAACGTTATCCTAATTCGCTGTTAAGGTTAAGGAGATGTATCCAAAGGATACTGTATACCAAAAGTAAACACAGTAAGAAAATATAACCGGTTTATGAAAAAAAAAAAAAACACTAGTTAAGACTGCTACAGCATTCGTTTAACCCTGGATTTGGGTGCTTATTGCACTAGGACCAAAATCTGAGCATTAGGCTTAATTGAATGGCGACTCAGGGGTGTCCCTTTGCAATATCATTATCTATTTTACTGTATTTGCATTCTTTGCCAAAGTCTCTATTTGTCACTTGTTATGTTATATCAAAATGATAATAGACTGCTTTCCTTGACCAGACTATATTATCTCTCTAGGTTGTCTAAAACTGAACTCTATAAATAATGTGCATTATTTGTTATATTTCTATATTTTAGTATTATTCTAATTCCTGTAACCCATCACCCATCAAAACATAATTGACTAAAATCAGAAAAAGAATCATAATCTTCGCAACATAAGATCTATGAAACTATTTGCTTGATTTAAATTAATTCGGGAACAGATTGCCAAACTGTTTATTCACCTTTTTAACATTTATTAAGGTAATTCAGAGCTGATAATACTTAAAAAGTCTACCAAAACATATACATACATCAAATACCAATACACACTAAAATGTAAGCACTAAGTATTGCACATCTCTCTGTCTCTGTCTCTCTCTGCCTCTGTCTCTCTCAGTCACTGTCTCTCTCAGTCACTGCCTCTGTTTCTGTCACTGTCACTTTCTCTATCACTGTCACTGTCTTTATCACTGTCACTGTCTTTCTCAGTCACTGTGTCTCTCAGACACTGTCTCTCTCAGACACTGTCTCTCTCAGTCACTGTCTCTCTCAGTCACTGTCTCTCTCAGTCACTGTCTCTCTCAGTCACTGTCTCTCTCAGTCACTGCCTCTGTTTCTGTCACTGTCACTGTCTTTATCACTGTCACTGTCTCTCTCAGTCACTGTCTCTCTCAGTCACCGTCTCTCTCAGTCACTGTCTCTCTCAGACACTATCTCTCTCAGACACTATCTCTCTCAGACACTGTCTCTCAGACACTATCTCTCTCAGTTACTGTCTCTCTCTGCCTCTGTCAATCTCTGTCTCTCTCAGTCACTGTCTCTCTGTCTCTGTCACTGTCACTGTCACTATCTGTCTCTCTCTCTCTAAATTTGGAATAACTCGCATTGCCATCCACACTATTCTACCTTATTGTTAATACCGCATTCCCCTTTTACTAATAAAATCCTAATGACAGAAAACACTTCAACCCCTTAATATTTATCTTCCATATCTATTTCTTATCCAGTATGGTCTTTGTGACTCAGTGATAACCTTAGATTGATTTTTATATCTCTATGTTGAATGATACTGTGAAAAATGTTGAGTAATATGGCAAATGGTAACAGTTGTAAGTGTGTGTGTGTGTGTGTGTGTGTGTGTGTGTGTGTGTGTGTGTGTGTGTGTGTGTGTGTGTGTGTGTGTGTGTGTGTGTGTGTGTGTGTGTGTGTGTGTGTGTGTGTGTGTGTGTGTGTGTATGTGTGTATGTGTGTATGGTGTGTGTGTGTGTGTGTGTGTGTGTGTGTGTGTGTGTGTGTGTGTGTGTGTGTGTGTGTGTGTGTGTGTGTGTGTGTGTGTGTGTGTGTGTGTGTGTGTGTGTGTGTGTGTGTGTGTGCGCGCGTGCGTGTGCGTGTGCGTGTAGTACCATAATAAAGAAAGAAAGAAAGAAAAAAGAAAAAAGAAAAGAAGAAGAAGAAGAAGAAGAAGAAGAAGAAGAAGATGAAGAAGAAAACCAGAAAAACAGGAGAAGAAAAAGTAGTCCAGCAAATATAACGGAAATCAAAGACACTTCTTACCTTTATGTGAAATACCTGTGTTTCAACAGACCTCAAACTCCTCTCTCAAGTAACGACCCTCTTGCAAGTGGGATTCATCTTCCTTGCACCATCGCAAAAAGGAGAAAAAAAGAAAAACAAAAAATCT